CGCATCCTGGGTGTTAGTGGACTGGTGTGGGTCACATCCTGGGTGTTAGTGGACTGGTGTGGGTTGCATCCTGGGTGTTAGTGGACTGGTGTGGGTGGCATCCTGGGTGTTAGTGGACTGGTGTGGGTGGCATCCTGGGTGTTAGTGGACTGGTGTGGGTCGCATCCTGGGTGTTAGTGGACTGGTGTGGGTCGCATCCTGGGTGTTAGTGGACTGGTGTGGGTCACATCCTGGGTGTTAGTGGACTGGTGTGGGTCACATCCTGGGTGTTAGTGGACTGTTGTGGGTGGCATCCTGGGGGACAAGATTAAGGACCCCAATGGAAATAAGTTAGATGGTCCTTGATGACGCACTGACTTTCTTAAGTTATCCTGGGTGGCTAACCCTCCAGGGTTAAAAATCCGAACGAAATCTTATCTTATCTTATCTTACTTTTGAGTGTCTGGAACCTGCCTTCCTGGAGGTTATTCCAGGGATCAACGCCCCCCACGGCCCGGTCCATGACCAGGCCTCCCAGTGGATCAAGACCTGATCAACCAGGCTGTTTCTGGTAGCCGCATGCAATCCAACGTACGAACCACAGCCTGGCTGATCCAGCACCGACTAGGTATCTGTCCAGCTCCCTCTTGAAGGCAGCCAAGGGTCTATTGGTAATTCCCTTTATGCTTGGTGGGAGGCTGTTGAACAGTCTTGGGCCTCGGACACTTATGATGTTTTCTCTTAGTGTATGGATTAATTGGATTTCCATTATTTCTCATGGGAAAAATTAATTTGGCTAAAGGCTAAATCAGTTAAAGGCTAGCTCTCTGGAATGGATTAATGGCATTACCCGAGGGTCCATTGTAGTGTGTCATTGGTGTCAGCTATGGTCTGTATAAGTTGTATCATGTAGAAATAAACATTATTATTATAATGGAAATAAGTCTGACTTTATTTGGTTATCCTGGATAATTTACACTATATATGATAACTGTACTTATGTGTACCTGTACACAAATAACCCGCACATAAAAGAGAGAAGCTTACTACGATGTATCGGTCCGACTTGGACCATTTACAAAGTCACACTAACCAGAAGTGGGGCAGGACGGCGGGTTATTTGTGTATCGTTCCAGTCACGGTATTGTGCCTTTTTTTGTTATTTATGTGTACCTGTGCCTAAATAAACTTATTTACTGTCTAACAGACAAACCTCGGATATAATGGACAAAGTCCGTTATACCTATATAACGGACTTTGTCCGTTATATAGGTATAACGGACTTTGTCCGCTATATAGGTATGTTGTTACTTCATGTAGTTGGCAATAGATGGTGACACAGTTTATTACCCCGGCTCTTAGGGAATCACCACTAGCTTTCACATTTCCAATGTCTTTACTGCACTCAAACTAAACTTTATTATAATATAAAGTACACCGTGATTAACCATGGCATCTGAAGTAAGTGTTAAGAGGAAACGTATGGTTCCAACCGTTTTCCAGAAACTGGAACTTACAAACAAGTTAGAGTCCGGTATATTGGTGGTCCAATTATTTATTTATTTATTTATTTATTTATTTATTTAGTTATTAATTTGAACATGATACAGTGAAGTACAAAGGAATACAGTTATTACAGTGCAACATGCCAAAGCCCCTTGTATGCAGAGCATTATGGGCAGGCTTAAAATTAACTTAAGATTAACTAAGCAATGATATATTCAGTGGTAAAAACATTATTGTAAACAGATAACAATATAGCACAAATGAGTATTACAAAGACAGGTCATATGGTCATTTACTGTGTTGTTGTGCATTATGTCAGGAATATGGTGTAAAAAAGAGATCTGTCTGTTGTATCCATAAATCGAAGGAGAGACTTCTTGCATATGCTCAGGAATACAGTTCAGATACTAGTAGTCAAGATGGTATAGGAAAGTTTATGAAAATGTTGAATTATACGAATCTGGAGGAGAAATTGCAAGAGTGATACACTTAGCTAATATTCATGCTGAACATCGTTGTGCTGATAATTCGTTAACAAAGAACGTGAACATAAAATATCTGGCTAGTGATGGCTGGCGCTGGTGTAATTGCTATGAACTGGCTAAGACGACCGATGGCAAAGGTTCTAGCCGTTACATGCACATGGCGGAACAGTCTCATTTAGCCACCATGAAAGGTAATTAAAATCACTGCTTTTAATTTATTTTTAATGTAATTATGTTTCAGTTATGTGTATGAGGTGGGTAAAATTTTGGGCATTTTCTTTCACCTGGTGCTCCTATTTACCCAGCAGTAAATAGGTACCCATTGTGGGTGGCATCCTGGGCAGGGTAAGACATATGGGTAAATCACCTAACACATGCTGCTGCTGATGTCACTGTTCACCTAGCAATAAATAGGTACCTGGGTGTTAGTTGACTGTTGTAGATGGCATCCTGGGCAGGGTGAGATGTATGGACAAGTCACCTAACACCTGCTGCTGTCAGTGTACACCCAGCAGTAAATAGGTACCTAA